CTGTGTTCATCCAGCTCTACACGTTGTTATCTCAGATTCTCCAGCATCTGCAGTTCCTACTATCTCTGAAACATATAGAGAGGGTGTTTGCCAACTCAAAAACGTGGACCCAAACCTTCCAGTTTCCAGGTAGTCAGAGACGAGCGGTAGCTAGAGTGGATAAGACACACCCCTTGGAAGCCCCATATAGTGACCTTGTGAATTGCCCAGGGCATTTCAACATCCCATGGGCAATTGTCCTGCTCAGAGGGACACTGCGCAAATGTCTCCATCTCCTTTTAAGTCAAAAACCTGGGAGAAATCTGACTTACTCATCTGGACAGTTACCTCGGAAATGTTAGACAAATCAGGCCCATGTCTAACTCCTGTTTAACTAGATAACTGACTCACTCTGATCTCCTGACTCCCTCAATCCCAAATTCCAACTTCCCCCACAAATGTGCTGCTTTCATGCATTCAATCAATTTTGCAATGATGGTTATTAAAAAAACACATAAGTGAGCTTCAACAGGAATTGAGCACAATTGGGCAGAAATCTCTGTGCGTACTTTCACAACACTTCATCAGCATGTTTCCTCTCTTCACTATGACATGTTATTAAATAAAAAGATAACATCCTTATAAAACAGCAGAAAGAAATGTAAACTCCCGTGGAAATAAAACAAGGTCAAATATTTTAAACAAATCAAAGAAAGGTGAATGCCAGAGTTCTGAGAAAAACACAAGAAGCAATGGAGAAACTCAGCTGGTCTGGCAGCCTCTACAGAGATCAGTTGAGTTTATCCATTTCCTCTTTCTATTCCAATATTTTAGTATTTTATTCTTGAATCAGAATTTATCAAGATTGAATATTGATTCAGAGTAAAGTGTATTATTGAAGTCACAATTTGTCCTTCATTTCACAGGTTTCTTTCTATTTCACATTTTAAGAAAAGCAGTGCCACATTTTTGGTGAAAACAGCAATATTCTACACTTTTCTGTTCTTAATATAAAAAATAACTTGATTTGAACCAGCAAATTCTCAGCAAAACCTACCTCTTCCAATTCATTTTTTTAAAAACTCTACTGATATCATATCAAAAGCAATATTTTAACTGCGCGTCACTTACTATCACAATGTTTTGGAGTTGAGCCACATTCCCAAGGAGTCATCTTTCATTGTGCAAAGGGAATTGGGAACCATAGTCTGGATGCAGGATATTTTGAAAAATAATTTTCCTATCCATGTTGCCGTCTATCCCCCAATGCCTCTCAAACCCTCCTTGCCAACTCATGTTCTTCATACACTCTACGTTGATTCGTAGCTCAACCACGTCCATCCACCGAGTATACACTTGGGGGTACACTCTGTACAGAACCAATGAACTCTATGACCTCAAAAGCTATTCACTACTTCATTTAGAAAAATTGTTGTTCTTACAATCTTTTAAGTGTCTCATCAATCAGCACTTAAAGTATCAATAGCAGAGACTTTATGCACTTGACACCTCTTTTCTTGGGTGAATAAACATTAAGCCACCGACAAAATGATCAAAGGAAAATAAAGCTGTCAACCAAGTAAAGTTCTCCCTTGTGTTCATCTGTTTCAACAATCTAATGGAAGTCTGGAGGGGCAGTCATTAAAAAATTCTCTCATTACTAACTTATTGGAACAGAGAATGGTTAAGTCAAATGATTGGTAATTACAAGCTTGCTTGGTACTACATATAAACAATTCCATAAAAGCCTTAGTACCTATCGACATACTGTGATCACTGGACATAAAATAAATAAGTGGTATTTCTTTAAATTCTCCTTCATACAATTACTATATAATTTACAATTCATAGCAACAAAATAAACATCCACCTGAGTTTTCTGATAGCTGCTGACCCTCCTCTGATTTTACACAATGTACAGCCATACAGATTAGGCTTCATCCTTGGATTATACTCAGTTTAACTGTTCTCAATGAGGTTTGGTGTAGATAGGATCACTCCAATTTCTCTCAATAACTCTACGTTAGGGCAGAGAGAATGAAATTCGGTTTCATCTCTTGATGGTTATCTACTGACCTCCCACTAATAGATGTGTGCAGATGTGGAACTTTGATATAGTCAGACCTGGAAGTCATACCAATTTTTTCTTTTGGTTTTTCCCATTGTATTTGGGGTCACTATGGCAATGATTAATCACCCTTCTTCATTCCTTCTCTTCAGTCACCCAGTCCTCTTCCAATTCTCCTGCATCTTCATGGCTTGCCACTGTATATTTTCCAACTGGTCCAAACCTTTCTCTTCTCCTACCCCTGGCCGTCCCATCTCCATCCCTCACCAATTTCCTCACTCTCTCTCTCCACAACAGATAGTCATAGCTTTACAAATTCCTACAGGTTACTTTCTTCAATGCTGGCTTTTGTTGCAAAACCCATTCCTCAATACTGACACCTTCTGCTATGAATCAAAGTCACTTCATTGCCTAGGCGCTTGAATTCTGCACAGCATCAACGCATTGAGAAAAGAAAGGGAAGGGATAAAGGTGATGAGGATTTGTTTGAAAATAAACAAGCTGCCATGTTGCAAATTCTGGCACCAATGATGGTGAAAAACAACATAGATATTGATATTCTTAATAATGTCTAACATATCAAGCTATCGCTTACAAAACAGAAATGCTTTTAACTAGAAACTAGAAAAAAAATTGCAGGTTTCTTCCAATTTCCATAGTCAGGACATTCTAAATAAAACAGATATTCTGGTTTCAAGGTAAGCCCAAACATAAGTTCATTGGTACACATCCAATCAATTTTCAATGCGGCTCATATCCAGACAGTTGCATGTTGTCAGTCTGTGAGGTATGAAAGGTTCGCTTTTTAGTCAAGCCCTGAAATTCACAGTCAGTTATAAATTGAGGTAGTTTTATGAATTGTTCTTGATAGTCTGGATTGCCATTTAGAGACTGATCATCAGCTGTTATCAAGTCACAAGTAAATTGGGAACAAAAGTCTTCTGTTTTTAAGAAGTTGGAAATTCCATCCCCATAAGCATCCACAGCAGAATTGTCTTTATCAGAGTCATTATTAAAACAAAGTTTAACTGTACTCAGAGGAACATCAGCAGAATTCCAAAACTCTATGCTCACAGGCTTTACTTGAATTTCCTGGAATAAATTGAAGTTGCATTGCAAAGTCTCTTCTATTGAGACATTTTCAGCAACGTTGCTGCTTCTGGCTTCTTTGACATCTCTTAAACTTGACCAGGACTGTAAATTATCAGGCACTGGAATTCCAGGGTTATTTTGCTGTGTAGGGTTTGCACTGTCCTTATCTTCAAAGGATGATGGTATGTAGGAAGGAAGGTTGCCCGTAGTCCTATACATGCAGACTTCTGGCTCACTCAGAAGGCTGTTATGCTTGCAACTTCCACCACTCAAACCGTTACTTTGGTAAGGAACATTTTCGTCCATATCAGTTAAACAGTTATCTGAGGTGAGCTGTAATTCGTAGGCAGGATCTGTGCTCTGAAATTCCAACTGACAATTATTTGAACTATCATCGTTTATAAGAAATGAGATGCGATCACCCTCTGGATTCTCATTTGACTCCTTGCATTGCAGATTCATATGCAACTCCTCAGAAATAATGACCTATTAAGATAAGAAAGATATTTCCTTAGTTTTTGTGGTTATTGATGAACTACTTATGGAAAATGAAAACATCTGTTTAATTATAACTCAACCCTATAAACAAAGATTTATCTGGATTACTGATCTGTTTGACAATCAAATGGATGTTAGGGGCTGTGGTCAAGGATTCTTATCTCTCTTATTCTCTAAAAAAGAGGGAGAAATGGACTTACTATAGCAAACTTTTAGGAAATATAAAACAAATTTAAAAGGCATTTTGAATAGGTATACGAATAGGAAGAGTTTAGAGGGATATGGGCCAAATGCTGGTAAACAGGACTAGATTTATCTAGGATATCTGGTCAGCATGGATGAGTTGGACTGAAGGGTCTGTTTCTGTGCTGTGTGACTCTATAACTGTAACAGCTTCAACAAGCATATAAAAAGCGTAGGAAAAGCAAACTTTGGTCCCTTACAGGGGGGGCCTAAGTGTTTAATGATGGAAATGAGGAGATGGCAAAGACTTTGAACAAGATATATTGAACCTGCTTTCACAGTAGCAGCCACAATGAGCATCACAAAGATATCAGAAAATCAAGGGGAATAAAGGAGGGAGGAACTTTCAAAAAAATCTCAATCAATATAGAGAAAATACGAGGAAAACTAATAGGATTAAACGGTAACAATTCCCTTGGATCTGATGGCCTGCATCAGAGCAAGACACTTTCTTTATCTTTTTTGAAGTAGCCAGTCCATTGTTGGACTGTACTGTTACACAGCAGGCTGACAGGGAAAGCTTATGAGTTGACTCCCTCTTATCTGTGGGCAGTGGTACTGACTATGAGGCAGTGAAAAGGAGTTATTTTAAGCATATACAAGTAAGATCAAAATACAAATATCTTAAGCAGCTCACATTTGATCGGTGAGTCCATGCACTAATTCTCGTTGCAGAGTTCAAAATCTCGATATTCTTTTCAATTCCAGATCATGTTAAGGAACAGGGGGTTGAAAGGCCCAAACAGGCAGCAGTTCTGGCTGATGTCTATGAGCTAATATACAGGCACATAAACTCAGGGAAACTGGGGTCACAAGGCTGCCACTGTACATGCAGTGATCACAGAGAGGTAAATACCCCAGAGACAGGATGGGGAGCAAAGGGGAGGCCAGACAAAGCTGCCAATGACCATTAAAAAGAGAGAATTAGATGGGAAACATGTGAGAAACCTCCACAAATACTTCCACTTCAGGAAACCAGGGCATGTGAAGCAAAATGATTAGCTCCGATTTTCCCTAGAAACTACAAATCCAGGGGCTGTAACTTTAGGCAGTCAGTGCCTGCTTATGATGTGGAGGTGCCGGTATTGGACTGGGGCGGACAAGGTCAAAAATCACACGACGCCAGGTTATAGTCCAACAGGTTTATTTGAAAACACAAGCTTTCTCAGCTCTGCTCCTTCCTCAGATGTAGTGTGGAAGAGGAGGTATAGCGACACAAGAATTTATCAGCAGAAAGAAAACAACCCTAAAAATGGCTCACTGATCACCTCATGTTGAATCTTTAATCAGTTAGAAAGGAGACTCAGGTTTCTATTGATTAAAATGCAAATCCCAGAATTTCTTTCAAGTCATTGTCCCGAGATGATTAAAGGTGACATCTCAGGTCAGACAATGCAGTTTTAGGTGTGAGGCCTTGTTTAGAATCTGACTGGGTTTTAAACTGGAGTCAGGCTGCTTTTACTTTGTTGAACAAAATATAATGTATATGCAAATACACAGACATCTTGGATGAAATAATTCACCGCGTAGATTGAAGTGTGTGAGGGTGTGTGTGTATGTGTGTGTGTGAGAGAGAGGGAGTGTGTGTGTGAGTGTGTGAGTGTGTATTTGTGTGTGTATGTGTGAATGTGTGTGTGTGTGTGTACATATGAGTGTGTGTGCATGAGAGTGTGCGTGAGAGAGACTGTGTGTGTGTACGTGTGAGTGTGTGTGCGTGAGACTGTGTGTGTTGAGAGTGTGTGTCCGTGTGAGTGTGTGTGGGTACACGTGTGTGTGAGTGTGTGAGAGAGAGAAAGAGAGTGTATGTGTGTGAGAGAGAGAAAGAGAGTGTATGTGTGTGAGAGAAAGTGTTCGTGTTTGTGTTTGATTGTGTGTGAGAGAGAGACAGCATGTGTGTGTGTGAGATAGAGTGTGTGTTAGTGTGTGTGAGAGATAGTGTGTGTGTGCTTGAGGGACAGTGTGTGAGTGTGAAGTAATGTATGAGTGTGAGTGTAAGTGTGTGTGTGAGAGAGGGTCTGTGTGAGTGTGCGAGTATGTGTGTGCCACTATGTTTGTGTGAGAGAGTGTATGTTTGTGTGCATGTGTATGTGTCTGTGAGAGAGTATATAGTGTGGGTCACCTGTAGCGTGACATGAACCCAAGATCACGGTTGAGGCTCTCATACACACACGCACTCACACTCACACACACATGCACGCACACTATCACACACATACACGCACACTGTCTCACACACACACAGACATGCGTACACATACATATAAATCTATGAGGTGAATTATTTCATCCAAGATGTTTGTGTATTTGCAAATACATTCTATTTTGTTCAAAAAAATGAAACCAGCCTGACTCCAGGTTAAAACACAGACAGATTCCAAACAAGGCCTTGCACCTAAAACTGCATTGTCTGACCTGAGATATCACCTTTAATCATCTCGGGGCAATGACTTGAAAGAAATTCTGGGATTTGCATTTTAATCAATAGAAACCTGAATCTCCTTTCCAACTGATTAAAGATTCAACAGGAGGCGGTCAGCGAGCCATTTTTAGGGTTGTTATCTTTCTTCTGATAAATTCTTGTGTCGCTATACCTCCTCTTCCACACACATCTGAGGAAGGAGCAGAGCTGAGAAAGCTTTGTTTTCAAATAAACCTGTTGGACTGTAACCTGGTGTCATGTGATTTTTGACCCAATGCCTGCTTAAGCCGATATGATTCGGGTTTCATTCTTACGACTCAAAGGCTGAAAAAATGCAAACTGCCCTTTACTGTCCTGTCTGTACTACAGACCCATCCTCCCACACCTTCCACTTTCTTTGTAAGCTCATTACTTGTGGTTTGTGTGTGTTTCTTGTTGTGTTTCATTATCTTTTTCAGGTATTAAAACACCACTGTCTTTCACGCAGGAACACCTTGGAATCGGCTTTCCTTCATTTTGTTCTGGTCAACTGATTTGAATTCAAGTGTGAAGGCTTCGTGCTAACAAATTGAAATCAATTAAAAATTTGTTGTGACTGACCGAGGGTGGTTAATAATAGAAGGGGACTGTGATGCCTCCTCTCCTGTTTGTAACAAGATATCCCCGTTCCTTCATTGTTGCTGGTTTAGCAATCATTTTCTTCATGCCCTGAAAATGCAGTGCAATAAGTTGCTAAATGCTTGTTGATGATAAATCCACATGCAAACTTGTTTTTCTTGTGGCGCCAGGTCACAGGAGATTGCATTCCAGTCACACCAGAATAACAAGGATTAAAAATTAAGTACTCTGAAAACTGCCTCTCATCGACTCCACTCTGGGTCTGACAATTCATTCAATTGCCCATCTCTTTGCTGTCAGAGAATCCTGCAGTGGGGAAAATGGCCCATGATGGTTGTTGTTGTATATGGGACTGCCAGGGTTAACACTGAGGAGTGTCATAAGCTCTACCCTAATAAAGTCATCTATCTGCGCCTCCTCAGAGTCTCTTACCAATCTCTATCATATCAGTGTAATCTGTAGCATGTAATAAACTATACCTTGTTGACTATAAGAAACTGTTAGCTTAGAAAGTGCAGCTTGAGGTGGGAGGAGGGGATAGGTGGGAGGAAGAACAGGTTAGGGAGGCAGGGACGAGCTGGACTGGTTTTGGGATGCGGTAGGGGGAGGGGAGATTTTGAAACTTGTGAAATCCACATTGATACCATTGGGCTGCAGGGTTCCCAAGCGGAATATGAGTCGCTGTTCCTGCAACCTTCGGGTGGCATCGTTGTGGCACTGCAGGAGGCCCAGGATGGACATGTCGTCTGAGGAATGGGAGGGGGAGTTGAAATGGTTCGCGACTGGGAGGTGCAGTTGTTTGTTGCGAACCGAGCGTAGGTGTTCTGCAAAGCGGTCCCCGAGTCTCCGCTTGGTTTCCCCGATGTAGAGGAAGCCACACTGGGTACAGCGGATGCAGTATACCACATTGGCAGATGTGCAGGTGAACATCTGCTTGATGTGGAAAGTCTTCTTGGGGCCTGGGATGGGGATGAGGGAGGAGGTATGGGGACAGGTGTAGCACTTCCTGCGGTTGCAGGGAAAAGTGCCGGGTGTGGTGGAGCTGGAGGGGAGTGTGGAGCGGACAAAGGAGTCACGGAGAGAGTTGTCCCTCCGGAAAGCAGCTAAGGGTGGGGAGGGAAAGATGTCTTTGGTGGTGGGGTCGGATTGCAGATGGCGGAAGTATCGGAGGATGATGCGTTGGATCCGGAGGTTGGTGGGGTGGTACGTGAGGACGAGGGGGATTCTTTTTTGGTTCTTATTGCGTGGACGGGGTGTGAGGGATGAGGGGCGGGAGATGTGGGAGACACGGTTGAGGGCGTTCTCGACCACCGAGGAGGGGAAGTTACGGTCCTTGAAAAACGAGGACAACTGAGATGTACGGGAGTGGAATGCCTCATCCTGGGAGCAGATGTGGCGGAGGCGAAGGAATTGGGAATAGGGGATAGCATTTTTGCAGGAAGGTGGGTGGGAGGAGGAGTATTCTAGGTAGCTGTGGGAGTCAGTGGGCTTGAAATGAATATCGGTTTCTAGGTGGTTGCCCGATATGGAGACAGAGTGGTCCAGGAAGGGGAGAGAGGTGTTAGAGATGGTCCAGGTAAACTTAAGGTTGGGGTGGAAGGTGTTAGTGAAGTGGATGAACTGTTCGAGCTCCTCGTGGGAGCACGAGGCGGCGCCGATACAGTCATCAATGTAACGGAGGAAGAGGTGGGGTTTAGGGCCGGTGTAG